TGTTTATTGATTTAACGAATTTGATAAATATTTAATTTTAAAACTTTTTTAAAATTTGGATTTCATTTTGAATATTAAAAAATCATTGCTAATTTTAAGTGACTTTTAATTAAAAATTTCATGTTTAGAATAATCGTCAATTTTTCTTTGTATTTAGTACACAAATTTATCAAATAACTTAGTAAAGATTGGAGTTTTGACCGAAGCAGTGATTAAATATTAACTTCTTGTTTATTTTTAACATTTATATTTTTATCATTAGAGAATATTCAAGTATATCTTAGTGATTGATTTGTTACATACAAAGATCTCGTTGCAGTCCCTCGCGTCAGATGTATACCAGTGAATGCGTGATTTGTATCAATGAAAAGACGTAATTATTTTAATCACGGAGAGTTTTTCCTCATTGCTTTTCGTAAAATCCATTCGCAATGTCCAGTTTGATGTTCCATTCGAGATTTTTGTACGGGATCAGAATTAAAAACGAGTTTTTTTTCATCAATTCCTGGAAGTAACATTATAATTTTACCAATGATTTAATGACAATTCGTGCCTATTTTAAAGTCAAATCGTGAAATTAATTTAGTATACTTTAGCATAATTATAGTTTTGTTACTTTTAATAATGATTTTTTTGTCTACTCGTAATAATGTTTGTTTTGTATACGAATTTTATACTTCGTACGTATAAAACAATTTTGGTTTGGACTAGAGATTACATGAACAATCAATGTTAAGTATTTAAAATTAAGTTTAGACACTTAATACGAAAGATTAGTTTGTTAAAAAATTTGTATGTATGTTTCAGTGCGATGTTGATGCAGTAGTGTGTGTATAAAGACATATTGTCGACTTGTTGACTTGTCGCATTGTATCGGTAAAACAGTGATCTCATCGGAATTCAGATTCCACTTTAGGATCTTCTTAACAGAGTTAAAATAAAATGTATAATCAAAATTGACACTAGACAATAAAAATGCATAAAATAAGTAGTGCCATATACATGTGTACAGACACTAATGTCAAAATTGATTTAAAATTATGATTTTTATGTTATCGTCAAAGTTTGATCAATGAAAATGTAAATTGTGGAGAAGAAAATTGTAATTTTTTTAAAGTAAATAAGATATATCTTAACATTACAAGTGTATACATAGTTATTTATAGAATATTTATATTATATTATATAAGAATATTTATATTATATAAAATCATTAATTTAATAATGTATTAGTTGTATAATATCTGTTAATAATTACAAATTTATATTACTTAATTATCGAGATGTCAACGTTTTTTAATTGTCTCCGGGCTCTTAAGGATCTATCTAAAAGAGTAAAGGTCATAATTGATAACAATTTTTGATAGTATTTCGTCAATGGCAAAAATGATGTAAGCAAATGATGTAGAAAATCGACTTGTAAGAAAATGGAATCCATCGATTGATATATACTGGTAGGCATTAGAACAGCAGATTTGCTGGTGTCTCATCATTTTGTGCATGTATACACTCATCGTTCTTGTGTTTTTCTATAATAGTATTAAAATGTAACTTGCTGCAAAAATAAATTAAATTAAATTATTGAAATTAAATATCTGACGAAGAAGCATAAATTATCATCTAAGAATATTTACTCTGAGTTTCGTGACAAATATATCTCCACTAGCATAAAAAGATATGAATGACTTGATCATTTTAATAGAAACATTTAGAATATCATTTGTACATTTGTATGAAAGATATAGTTGTAACATTAATTTTTAATTGTGGTATAGGCAGAAGATAACAAATATATCTGTTAAAAATATTGCATCAAAAACCGAAACAATTATTTAATAAAAAACAAAATTAAAATAAATTTTTGTCAATATAAATTTTTATCAAATTTTATTTCAATTATGTAGGTGTATACATAATTTATTAATAAATGCTTATAGATTTTTAGTTTTTAATATATATAGTTTTTATTTTATATATATATATATATATATATATACATATACGTAGTATTTAATTTTTATATATTATTAAAGTTAAATGTTATTATTAAAACTGGAGAAAAATTTTTAATAAAGCAATATTCGAAATTAAATTTTAATTTTAATTGCACAAAACTATTATTTTATATTTTCTAGAAATTAATGATATCGTAAATTTTATATTAGAAATAGTAGAGAAGTAATGTTTGTAAATTATTCGTCATTTTCTACTTATTTCGTACTTAATACGCATTTCTTGTTAAACTAAATTGTAGTATTCTAGAATTTTTTAACAGTGTATGTACAAAAACGGAAGAAAATATTAACAGCTTTAAACAATTAAAGGGATCCTGGAATCGAACATTTTATCAACAAAAATTTATTTTGATCTATTTATGAGATGTACTTCAAGCATTGATTTTCCAGAATAATGTGTAAAATTTATTTTCCACTACTAAAAATTGAAAATAAAGAAATCGTTAACTATACTGACATTTGAATGTTCTAATTTGAATATAAGTTAAAATAATAAATAAACACATTTCAGGAAAATATTGTTCTTTTAATAAACATATGTAGCGCAGACGGACAAGGATTTTACGTATATTATCTTATATACGTATATTATCTATTGTCTTTAATTACACATACATTAAACTATCATTATATTTATAATATTATGTTAATCGTACGTATTTATTTGTGTTTAATTTTAGGAGCAATCTAATAGAGAAGAATACTGAATGCATATGTAGTTTGAAAATCTCTGTTTTCGACAGGAAATTTAGATCATCAATTTCGGCAAATTATTTATTCTTCTCAATAACAACGGCGTAACCAGCGTATTATAATTATTGCTATTGATAAAAATATCTGACAACAGAATAGTACATTAATGCCGAACTTTGATTAAGTATCTTAATCTTTCATTAAATATTAATAAAAAATAAATATATAAAATTTTGGTGGACAATTTACGTGTTACGATTTAACGTTTATTAATTCAAAATCGACATACATCAAAGCCAATTCACATACAGAAAAAATACATTTTTCTCTTATCAATATATAAACGCATTTTATTTCTCTTTTATCTAAATATTAATAAATATTAATATTCGCTGCCTTTATATTCAAAGTATAAATAAACACATTATAAAATTAAATAATACGTAATTTCTACAGGAATTTCTGTGGTAATAATACATAATTTCCGTAAAATTTAGACTATACATTCCCTGTTCATTTATGATCTGAAAATGAATGAAAATAATCTTTTATTAATTTATTTTCTTAAGAAGAAAGAAAATTCTGTAGGATAAACGATGTCATGATTGACTGTATTTTTTATCCTAAAATAATAATATGTAATATAATACGTTTAATAAGCACAATTATTTTCAAAAAGAAACGCACCAAATTACTTATAATTCTGAAGCACAAAAATAATAATTAATACCCGAATATAAAAGCGTCGCAATAAAACAAGAATATTAATAAAAAACACGGTAGGTATACAGGGTAACTGGAAAATCGTCCGCAATGCTTCGGGAAGTGATTAGCGACTCAAAATAAGGAAACATGAGCTATATAAACATAGGTCCGAAAATAGATCGTTTACAAATTATAATTACATTTATGTTAAAAAGAATTGTAATTGAATTTTTATAATTTACAATAATAACTTATTTCATACTATTTTTTTCATTACATTTTGGAATATTATGGCGTTACTCAAGATGCACGTGGAGGCATAGTCTGCTTGATAACCTTCCAGTAAAATAAAAAAATTTTTAAATAAAAAAATTAAAAAAGAGGGATGCTTAGCGGAGTACATTTCCGCGTGGTGCATTTTTGGTAATGCCAAAATAATCTGAAATGTAATTATTTATGTTAAAGCTCTATGAATTAAATTATGATTATAAAAAATAAATTACAATTTTTAAAAAATATAAATAGTTATAACTCGAAAGCGACTTATTTCCGGATCAATCTTTATATACATTTTTCTTCCTTCTTAAGTCCCGAATTTCTTCTTGTAGTATTGCGGGCGATTTCCAGACACCTGTATAAAATGCAGTATAATTTTAAACATGCATTATAATGTATGCATACATAAACTGCTTTATTAGCTTATTCGAAATGAATCATACTTTTTTAATTGTATCAGTTTTGTTTTCGAAGTATACGATTAATTACTGCAGACATAATTATTCCTCGATAAACGTTGTTTTTTAATTTAATGATTCTATTTATCTTTTATTTGGCACATTTTATATTGTTAAATTAATAATATACTTGACGCGTTTATATTTCCATTCTAAATTTTTTTTAGTTACCGTGTATAGAACACGTGTCAATTTTTCGAGAAAAAATAGTAGTATCCAATTTATACTCTTTGAAATACATACAGTCTTGAGTTTTTCAAATATAATAATGTGTCA